CCCCCCCCCCCCCCCCCCCCCCCCCCCACAGATCATGCTGGATCCATCCCTGTTATTTATGGCAAAGTTTATAAAATTAAACAAAAAATTATATATAAAAGTCCTCGCGCGTATATGTTCGTGTATCAGGTTTTCTGAGTTTAAGGCCGCAAAGAATCTCTGGGTAATTACCACAGTAGTATCGGTAATGAAAAGGAAATAACGGAATTTTAACAGAATTTCCAAGGAATTTAGCAATATGCAATATGCAAACACGATACATGTGCGAACAGCGAACATATAAAATATAAAAATACAGCCACCTTTTTGGTGTTTGTCAGTTCACTCAGTTGGTTTAAAAGCTAGGAAGGTTGGAAGAAGACACAGATTGCAGAGGTTCATCAAAACGGGGAAGATGTAGTGTTAACTATTCACAATGGTTGTCCTGTGCCAACCTTCAACTCTAAACCCTAAGCGTGCGAAGCATAATGGGAGCATCATTTAATCAGTTTAGAAATCATATATGCAGGGGCCCATTTCTTAGAGATATGGTAAATATCTCCTTACGAGAACAATTCATTCACAAATAGCTGCAATATACAACTACTAGGCTTGAAACTTGTGCTCCCATGAAGCTTTGCGTGCTTAGAGTTTAAGTTTTAAGAGGGTCCTGAGGGGGGTCGTATTCCCATTTCCCAGCCCAAATTTTGACTAAATCCCATTGTCCCAGAGCACAAATCCCATCATCTCAGTGGCTGTCCTGCTCAAATCTTAGTCCCATTCCCATTTTCTATTGTTTTTTTGCTGATGAATCCCAGTCCCAGTGCATGAAATCCCATTTTCCCACCCAAAAATAAGCAAATCCCAGTTCCAAGGTTTAGAGTTTCAGGTTTGCAAAGGACACACTTTTTTGAATTGGCTGTATATGTATGCAGTACGGTAACCTTTTCAGTTTCCTTGACTTGACTCAAAAAGTGTCCACTGTATTTAGATTGTGGTATTTGGCCTGACCTTTATTCTTGCCTACATCATCCCTGACCGGCCAAAGAAACTGGACAATCAAATAAAGAGAGAGGCTTTCCTGGCTAAGAATATACTACGCTCAGACCAAGGAACTATCGGTAACTGATGACGTTACACGGTACATGATATATATTATATATTTCTTTTAACCAAAGGAGTTGGTACCGCTGATCTATTGGTACCTCTTCCGCAGTCATCTCACCCGAGGAATTGGGTGGTTGGAAAAACACCCATTCGCAGGTAGAGATGCCTGCGCAGGAGACTAGTTGTATTATACCAATGTATATTTTAAAACTTGATTTGCGCCTTGTTGCATGGACAGTAAATCTTCTGTTAAGCGCTCTTCTTCGCCCCCCCCCCCCCCCCTCCTGCCTCAGCCCCCTTGCCATTTTTTGGTTGGAAAATCTGCCTTCCCTTATAAATGTTCCAATTATCGCCCCCGGGCGCTTAATAGAGGATTTACAGTAAATTAAGCAATGTTCTTACAGCTAAACAATTTGGGGATATAGTAGATGTTTTAATTCTAAAATGTTTTAATTCTAAAATGTTTTGACATAATAACTATATGATTTTAACTATACTGTGATCATGATACTACGCCAGATTAATAACCTATACTTATGGCGTGCAAACATTTTGAATACATATTCAAAACGCTTTTAAAATAATTGTACGCCCAAGAAATAACCAACCTTTGTGTATTTCATGAAGTTATACTTTAACGGGGTCTTTCAGGTGTCAGCTAAATAAAATCCATGGGTCAGCCATTCAAAGCACGATCAGCGCTAACCGTGGGCTAAATTTATCCCATGCCATTGCCCGCAAAGCAGGCACTCGAGGGTTAGGATGAAACATAGAGCCTTCTCGCAGGTTACGAAACCGGAAACCCGGGGATTTTTTTAGAACCAAGCTGTATGTAAGTCTAGTATAGACAATAAAACACCCTAATAATGTTTGCGGGTTTCTATGCTGTATTAGGGACAAAAACGAATTTTGTTTCCCTTTTCAAAATTTAAAGACAAATTTTGTTCTGGGCTTTCAAGGCACGAATTCACACGTAACACGTCGACGTTCCTGCCGTGAGCTAGGGTCTTGTGTTATCAGGGCTGCAAATTACTGTCGGACATCGGACAATGTCCGACTAAATTTGGCAAATGTCCGAGCAAAAGTAATTTTGATCGGACATTGGTCTGATCACAAAAAAATTGTCACATTATACATTTTTTTGCTGTCACAAAATCCGATTGCAAATTCACTCAATTTGCATTTTGCAATAATATTTATGAGGCATTCTAGCATTTAACTTAACATTGCATCGTAATGGCTATACATACTTTTCTCGTGACTTATATATATCTTGTGACGTATACTGTATATGTCTGACCAAATTTAGTGGTGTTAGTTTTTGTCCGACCAAATTCAAGTTATGTCCGACCAAAATTAAAAGTGATCGGACAAATGTCCTGTCAAGTCAAATATTTATTTGCAGCCCTGTGTTATTGATTACGTTTGAACTGAATACAAAACGTCACAGCATGAACGCTTTCTCGAATGTTCAGTAACTATTCACAAAGCAAAAGTTGACTTGAATCTGTCTTTCATTCCTATCTCATTTCTGAATTAAAACTGTACAAGAACAAAGCAATTGCGACAGCGATATAAAGAGAGAATATATGAATGAAAAATATTTATCTTGAAAGCCGATTTACACCACACAACTTTTGCCTAAAACTGTCGCATGCAATCTGCTTACAACTTGAGTTGTACTGTGTAAATCAAGCACACAACTTGTCTACGACAACGTAGGTGAATTGTGTGCTTGATTCACACAGTACAACTCAAGTTGTAAGCAGGTTGTATGCGACAGTTTTAGGCAAAAGTTGTGTAGTGTAAATCTGCCTTTCATGATGTTTACATAAAAACATGTCGCAAAACGAAACTATAGATATACACGTATGAATTTGAATAACTTTTCAATGAAAATGAGCTCGAATCGAATCTATTGTGTAGCAAATTGTCTCCTGTGATTAAGTTGCAAAAAAAGCAAACAGGTTGAAAACAGGACATTGTCAAAATTCCTCAAAGTCAAAAGCAGAACTTCGAATAAAGAGAAACGTCACAGATTGAATCTTCAAACGTCTACATGCCCTTGTGTGTGTTACTTTGCTACGAAAGTTTGGGAAGAAAAATGTAGATATCTAGTGATGTAGACAAGCGATGGCAACAGGTTATGAAGTTAGCAGATTTGTAAAGCCAGTTGATCAAAGCCTTCATTGCGTAATATGCAAAGAAGTATTAAGAGATCCAGTGCAGTGTTGTAGGAATGGACATCATTTCTGTAGGAATTGTATCACCGAAAATCGACGATATTCACCGAACTGTCCGACATGTAAAGACCCCGTAGAGACCCTAGCCAGACCTCAACGATTCTTGGCGAACACCCTGTCAAGTTTGAAGATTTCGTGCGAGAATTCCGAGCGTGGTTGTCCAAAGATCGTTGAACTTGGCTCACTCGACACACACGTAGCAACTTGTGGTTTCAGTCCAATGCCATGTTCCAACGATCAATGTGATGAAATAATAAGTCAGCGTGATAAAGAAATTCACGAAAATAAAGTTTGTGGTTTTCGACGAGTCGAGTGTGATTACTGCGCCCAAATGGTGCTGCATAAGAACTTTATGGAGCATTTATGTACGCATACATGTGAAATGAAAGCCGAGTTGAGAGAAGTTCGCTCTACGCAAGATGAAATGTTTAATATGATGCAAAATATGATGTCGAGTCTTACGAGGCTTGAAAGAAATACGGCACAACGTTCAGAAGGCAGTCATGCAAGCAGTGGTCAGGAATTGAAAGCCGAGATTGTCGTCGCAGGAGGGAGTTTTTGTAAATCTGTCGAAGTGTTCGACATGGCAACCAAAACATGGCGGCCACTGTCAGAGATGAATGAATGTAGAGATGAAGCAAGTTCAGTTTTATACCAAGGTCACATGTTTGTGACAGGCGGGGATTTTGGATACCTCCATCTCCCAGACAGTGTTGAAGTACTAAATCTTGCTGAGCAAGATGGACATTGGGTTAAATCTCAATTTAAATTACCAGTACCGTCCTGTGGTCACGCATGCGTGGTATATCAGAGCCATGTTTTTCTTATTGGAGGACACGTTTCTTCTAAACCCTGTGATACAATACATGAAATTCAGCTGACTCCTCCCTATGCATCAAGGTTGCTTACCAAGATGTCCACGCCAATACGTGACCATGGTGCTGAGATAGTGAATGGCAAGATATACATCATTGGTGGAAGGACGGCAGGACGTTGTGAAGACGCAACCAACACTGTTCTCAAGTTTGACCCAGCAACCAATACTTGTACAGAGCTCAAACCACTTCCACATCCGGTATCAAGTATGGCAACTGCAACTTGGAAAGACAATGTGATCGTCCTTGGCGGGAGGGACAATCAAGGCAACATTCTCAATACAGTGATACTGTATAATGTTATAACAGGAAGTCGTCGCATGCTTCCTGAGATGACAAACAAGCGATATGGTTGCATAGCAGTTGTCATTGATGATAATATTATCACAATGGGCGGATGTGATGAAACTCACACTGAACTTAACTCTGTTGAATGCTATAATTTCCAGACCAACATATGGACAGAGTTCCCAGCCATGGCTGAAGCAAGAGTTTTCGCTACTGCTGTTGTAAAATATTGCTGACATTGCACGATGAATTGTACTGCACCTCATAAAATAATTTATGTATACATTTATTATTCATATATATTTAATACAATAAATTGTAAATTCATATCAATACTTAACCGTCGTACTTTTCGTGAAAAATGTATTGATAGAATGTAATACTGAAATACGCTCAACAGCCTGTTGTTATTGTCGTTAATAAATGTTTTTATAAATTCGTTTTAGCCCAGAAAATTTGTCGAAACGTCGAAGAAAGTCAGGTAGTTGGATAACCTACTCTTCTCAGCCAAACAGTCCAGCTGTCTCCAGGGTGGGGGATTTGTTACTGCTTTTTTGCCCCGCTGCGGGGCATTTTCACATGTTTTTTCACAGGGGGTCCAACTAAGAGCTGTGTTATGAATATGAATAAAACATTAATTAAACGTAATATGAATAAAACATCATAACATAAATTTAAATTATTGCACTTACTTGTATAAATCATAAGAGCTTGCATTTACAATGAATAGCTTCAAACAGGGTGCTTATATATGCTCAGAAACATTGATTAGAACGATGGTTCAAATATGGCGAATAAATTGACAAAACGAAAATATTACATGACGTTCCAACGAAAATAACAGAAAGGATTGCGGGCGCGCGAGCGAAAAGGCGAGGGAAGAAATAAATAAAAGGGATGAAACAAATATCACGTGACTTTTTAAAATGCTTCTAGACTATCCGTTTAAGCTTTTTGTGGTATTTTTAGGGCTCAGTAGATGTTCTCTTACATGAACAAGCCTAGTCATTACCAAAAAAATCACTGATCAATCTAATTTATGTGATTTATAACAGCGAGCATTCTTGGCCATTTTCGCGAGATGTGTTCCATAAGTAGCCTGGTCTCGTGACGTAATGACTAAATAATAATAAAACTAAATAATGTTAAAAAAAACCCCGTTGGTCGCTACATTTAAATATTTCATATTAGCAAGGGTGGGTTGACTACAAAATTTTTGTAGTTCGCTATAACTACAGCTACTTCAAAAATATGTAGTCAGCTACAACTACTGCTACTTTTGAACAAAGGTAGTTCGCTACTGACTATATAGCTACTGCTTAAAAAATGTAGCGAACTATTTCGCTATTTCGCTACGCCTACGCTATATTTTTTAGTTTTACTGTATTTGGAGCATTTATACTAACTTAGACTGTAATGTAACCTATAACAAATAGACTTACGAGTAGCAACAGTAAACACAAAGCAACATTTTTGTAATCACTACAGTGCTCAGGAGTGCAAATTGACTATTGAGTATCGATTTTAAGCAAACCGTATCTCAATATCATGCTATTCTATCAAGTTGTTAACAATTTTTAAAAGTAACGAATAGCGATTTGCTGTTTGAAAAGTAGTGAACTACTTGGCTACTTTTAGGCAAAATGTAGTTCGCTATAACTACAGCTACTGTTTTAAAAATGTAGTCAAAAACTACTGGCTACTTGAAAATTGTAGTTCGCTACAGTAGCGAACTACAACTACTTCGCTACTACCCACTCTTGCATATTAGCCGGTACAGCTAAACATTGTTTATTTTCATTAATTAAGCGCGTAAGCGTTGTTGGAGTTGGCAGGAGGCGTTTTGGAATTTTCCGAGAGACCATGCTACTTTATATGGAACACATCACGATCGCATTACCGGTGTTTCATCCCTTCTATTAATATCTATTACGTACCCTCGCCTTCCGCTCGCGCCCGCAATCCTTTCTGTTATTTTCGTTGGAACGTCATGTAATATTTTCGTTTTGTCAATTTATTCGCCATATTTGAACAATCGTTCTTATCAATGTTTCTGAGCATATATAAGCGCCCTGTTTGAAGCTATTCATTGCAAATGCAAGCTCTTATGATTTATAAAAGTAAGTGCAATAATTTAAATTTATTACGTTATGATGTTTTATTCATATTACGTTTAATTCATATTCATAACACAGCTTTTAGTTGGACTCCCTGTGGGTTTTTTTATCCCTGCCCCCGGGAATTTGTCGCATATTTTCGAAAATTGTCAAAAGCCCGGGGGGATGGGCACGTTTGGATTTGACTGATGTATAACGTTTATGTAAATCGGGACGACAAACAGATTGATTAAACATTCACTGTCTTCGTTTCTTTTGAATTTTCTTCCTGAACGATAATTAATGAATATTTTAACAAGTATTCAGTTACTGAATTGATTAATGATTTTCACCTGATTGAAGAAACGGAAATTTTGCTTACTCGAAATTTACTCAGCAGGCTAATCCGTATAATCCGTTGGTAAAACAAGCCGAGATTGACAGTTAAACAACATAGTGATACCAAAGATCTTAAATGAAGTATATGTAGCATGTTTGATAGGTAGAACCGCTGAACACAATATATTCCCACCAAAAACTCAATTATCAAATATAGTCTAGGACCTGTATATGAGTTTGTATGCGATTCATTTAGGACAGGTAATCTCAAATGTTTTAGGGTAAAATGACCATGGCGGTCAACATGGCATATGTGCGAAAACCTGAATCCGGGGCGAAAGTCCTGAAAATGACCCCGCCCTGAAACGGC